GATAAGACCACAAGTGCAATAAGAAAACAGGGACTCAGGGAGTAGCCGTCAGAAAAAGAAAATAAAAAAGAAATAGGGAGTAGAGCTCTGGGAGGTTCGTAAAAAGAAAGGGTGTAGAGCCGTAAAAAAAAAGAGATTACAGAGTCGGAACTCCGAAGTCTGATCGGGTAAAAACAGAGGCGCATCGATCGAAATTCCGCTTGGTCAATTGCCGATCCCACGAAACAAGATCCAAACCGAGGCTACCGCCTCACAAACGCCTTATCGCCTCAACCGCCTTGGACGGCCTCAGAAAAACAAGGCGTACGCCTCACAGATCCCACCTGGTGCGGACGCCTCTGAGGCTAGATCTGACCGCCTTACCGCCTCGAGGCGGACCGCCTTTTTCGCCTTTTAAAACCATGCTTTTCGGGTCAGATTCGAGTATGAATCAAATTAAGTTTGGTTTGGGTTAACATCGACTCAATGTACTTTGGTTTGGGTTTGGGTTTGGATTATGTTAAGTTTGGGTTGGGTGACTTGGGTCAAGTTCGAGTGAAGTAGTTGGCTTAATTTGGGCATGGGTCGGGTCAATGCTGATTTGGATCAATGTCGGTTGGGTATGTTTTGATTAAGGTTTTTGGGTCAACTTTAGGTCAGATAAGAGTTGGGTAAGGTAAGAGTAAGATCAGGTCAATTTTGAGGTGGGTAAGTTTCGCATCGGATTAAATTTTGATCATGCTAGTTTCGGATTGACTTAGAATTCGAATATGTGTTTTTGAGTCTTGATGATGTGAATGGAAGCTGAAATTGGATAAATCATTCATTTTGGTTCAATGATTAAGAGAATCGATAAAACAAACTTTAGAGTTGTTTATAGTCTTATCATTACGATTTATGGATGTACTCTGTATAATTTTTTATCTAGACGATTTACGAACAATTTTTTTTCATTTTCAAGAAGGATGTGTCATGAATGAGCATTGTGTAAAGCTTTGCTACAATTTTTTGCATGAATTTGGAGTTGGCTAATTTTGACAAGTAATTGATACTCTATCTTTCATGTCACCAACCCAAACATTACTGGGTTTAAGGCAGTGAATAATGATGGAGATGTTGAAGAAGCTTTGCAGATGTTAGCAAATTATTGAATTACTATTCGACAACGAAGGAGGAAAACTAGTTTCAACAAATTAATGGAAGATGAATTTTTTCTAAAATGAGCAAGTGTATCACATCTAAGCGTTTTCTCTATGATTACAGATCATATTCTTTTGCGATGATTTATTGACATCTGTTAGCCTATGCATATAAGTCTTAGCCAAAGCAATAGAAACTACAATCTTTTAGCTTCTCTGCTATGGACCAATGACTTAACATGACTGGCGGTGTCTTGCACTTCCTAGGGTCGGAGCAATATTCAGCCATTTTACCCCCCGAAGCCTGAAGACATTGCTACCATATGCTACACGAGTGGTACAACAGGAACACCAAAGGTTCAACTTATGAATGAAGTTTTATGACCCCTCTTGGGCTTTCTCTTCAACTGTCTTGCAAACTGCAAGCATACATTACTTTATTGATTAAATGATTTGATTCATACAGGGTGTTGTATTATCACATGCAAACTTGATAGCAAGTGTCGCAGGGTCGACCCTTGCAACCCAGTTCTATCCTTCAGACATGTAAGTTTATAGTTAAATTACCGTGCATGCGAGAGTGATATCTGTAAAAGCTAATATTAAAATTTTTTATTAATGCACCAAGGAGGTGTCAACCATTTGAAATAAAAAGACTAAATCCCTTTCCAGTACATTCGTGTTTGCATTTTTGGCTTAGGTGTCTATTAGACTTTTCCCCTCTTAACAGATACATATCTTATCTTCCTCTGGCGCATATCTATGAACGAGCTAACCAGATTGCATCAGCATATTTTGGTGTTGCTGTTGGCTTCTATCAAGGGGTGAGTCAAATCCATTGTTTCAGATATTATTAATAAAATTGCTTTCCCTGAACATAGCCACCTATAATGGATGGTCTGATTTGTCTGCCACCTTTGTTATCTTTCATACAGCTCTCTGTGCTGTTGTGATCATTACAGAAGTAATTGTCTTGCCATTACAGGAACCTAAACCGGGCTGCAGGTGTCATGATATTTCTGTTAGTTGAAAGCTTAATTAATCAATGCATGATGTGTATTGTTCAAAACCAGTTGTTCACGCTTAAGGACTTGATTCTCTTCACCTGAAAATTGGATATGACCTAGGATCTGGTCTGAAATGTTTATGGGCTTAATCGTTCTGTTTTGGTCTAAAGGTTTTTATCTTGTGTAATTTTGTTGTCCAAGAAGTATTCTTCATCTGGCTGATTGAATCTTTCTGTTCTAGTCTGGTCTGGTCAGATTAAAATAAGAACATGTAATAAGAAAAAAGAGTTACAACACCACCTGAATATGTTAATTTGCAGGACAATCTAAAACTGATGGAAGATATGGGTGTTCTGAGACCTACCATATTTAGCAGTGTCCCTCGCCTTTACAATAGAATATATGACGGGTAATGGTGGTGAATCGATGATATGTAACTTTGTATGCACCACTCTAAAATGTTCTCTAAAATAGGTCTGATATGCTGTCCATAGGATCACTCATGCTGTGAAGACTTCTGGTCCACTAAGGGAAAGATTATTTAATGCTGCCTACAACTCCAAAAAGCTAGCAATCATAAATAGTGAGTAATCCTGCTTATTGCATTGCTTTTCTCTTTGTCAGTATGTTCCATATATAGTTGTTATGCTAGCAGTAGCCAGTAGGGCAATAGTTCCTACCTAATTGATTGTCACATATCAATTATTTTGTCTACACTGGTCAAAGAGCCACATCCCAACTTTGTGACCGGCGAGTTCAGGAAACATTTCCAAGTATTGAGTTTGAGATACTGCTGATGTCAATCTTTTTCTGTCATAAAAGGTGAACTTTTTCTTGTTTGCCATTTAGTATGCTTTGCCTTTTGTCTTTCATGTACTTAGTTTATGAAAATGTGAGCCAGTTTTTAGTTGTTGAAACTTGAACCCAATTCTATAGTATCATGTGAGGTGAAATATATGGAATGATGTCCTCCTTAGCTAATATTAGCTGTTATTGGCGATTTACATCTACGCTTAAACACATACACCTCACCTTTTCCTTCATGGTTAGACAGAATACTTCTTGGTGTGTTATACACTTATACATAGAAGTATTTTGATGATGGATATCGCTCAGGACATGAATACCTGACATTTTTGCATATTATATGCTCAATTATATTGGAATGACAAATTCAACTTCAACTAGAAGCTACTCGTTCTACCCCAAAAACCTTTGCCAACTTTTCTTTTGTCCGTCCCAAAAACATTTGCCAATTTTCTTAGAAAGAAAGAAATTTATGGTTCATATTCTCTCTTATAAATAAGTTTCAAAACATCGTTTTCATTTTTCGTAATTTCCCTGCCAAGTCAAATTTGGCAATGTTCATTAGAACAGAGGGAGTAATATGCTAGTAATTGTATGTGAATGCGTGTTCGCTTTTACCTTCATCCTTTATGCCGAAGACATTTTATGCTTACTCTACTACAGAGTATTGTCTGTATGTGTGTGTTATTATCATCTTCTGCTCTTTGAATTATAGTTGTTGTCTTGCTGAATTACTTTCATTATATCTATCTCAAAGTCATAGTGTTTACAATGTTGCCTAGGCGACAACATGTTGCCTTAGGGACACCTGGGCATCCAGTCGTTTTCCAAAAGGAAGACTTTGAAGTCGAAAGCTTTTTTTAAATAGAACATGACTCACCCAAACCATTGCCAACTAAATATAACGCAACTCACCTTTAGCAGAGAGATGTTCAGACTTCAGATATAAGAATCCAATCAATGCATGTGACATTTGACAGTTGAGACTAGACGCTGCGCTTGCCATCCCTGATTGAGGATCTCGCAACATATGATGACATCGACTCGACACTCTGCTCTTGCCGTCGCCGATACATGGTCTCACTGAAAGCCCTTCACAGATTCACGTTTAGCCTTCAGTTTTTATGTTTCTCTAGCCTTCAGTTTTTATCCTTAGCTGGAAACGACCTCCTTCAAATATTACTTTCTGATAGTTGATTTATAAATTACTTTGAAGTACTGATTTTGACCCACGCAAACCGAAATCCAATTACTCAAATAGATTTGAGTACTATTTATAAATTAATCTGTTTTTTTAAATTTTTATTTAGTACCGTGCTATTATATTTTGGTGCCTATAATATTTTTTACGGTATGTGTATTTAAATATGTTCAGAGAGCACTTATGGCAGAAGGATCGAGCAATCAAGATTATGATCCTTCTAACGATCCGGCTCAAAAGTCCATATCAAATGACCCAGCATGGAAATATAGTTTTTGCCCGGACTTGGCTAACAAAGATGTAGTTCAATGTTCTCTTTGAAACAAACAAATGCGTTCTGGGATAGAGAGAGGCTAAAGCAACAGCTGCTAGCTATTGAGATGTGGTTGGCTGGTTGCATTCCAAAACAACTACAGAGATTATGAGGGTGACACAAGCGTATCTCCAAAGAAATGCACTGAAGGCTCCTATCACATGTGATAATCACGATGAAAACGTTGATAATATTGAAGAAATATCAACACAACAACTACGACCGTCATCTACAGATTCTCTCATCCAAGTTCTAGGATGTCAACAAAAAGGAAATTTTTTATTTCTAGATTTTTTTGACCCTCAATCAAAGGTTCCCAAACAAAAGTCGGTTGTTTCGATGCTAAGGGAAACTCCTGAAGAAGTTGTGGTTGAAAGACATAGTAAAGGGACCGTTTGTCAATCATTGATCACTCAACCCAGAGTAAGGAAGATAAAGAAAGGGCACTTATGCATATTGTTTTTTATTTTAGAGCAATATCCTTTTCAATGCAGCAAGTTCAAGAAGTTATGATTGAGTAGATTAAACGCTATGGACCGGGACTTAAATCTCTTTGTTAGCATAAATTACGTGTACCCCTTCCTGAAAAAGCAAAAAAGGAGACTGAAAAGCTTAGAGGAAACATGAAGCTTCCTAGAATGAGCATCATTGTACACTAATGGCAAATTCATGGACCGATACCAAACATCGGCATTTGATAAATTTTCTTGTGAACCGTCCAGAGGGCACATTTTTCTTGGAGTCAGCTGATGCATCGGGTGAATCCCAGGATGCAACTTTGCTAGCCAGCTTGAGAAGAAATTGACAAAATCGTTAAGTACAAAGTTGTTCAAATTGTGCCAGGTAACGACTCTAATAACAAAGCGGCATGCAAAGTGCTACAAGGGTGAATACCTCCACTCTTTTGGATACCTTGTGTTGTGTATTGATCTCACGTTGGAAGATATTGGAATGTTGCCCGACTTTAAGCCTACCATTGAAAGAGCTAGGCATGTCACTACTTTTATCTATCATCATGGAAGGCTTCTCCGTGCAATGAGGGAAAAGACAAATGACAGACCTTGTGAAACCCAGGGTTACTAGATTTGCAACTGCATTTCTTACTTCGCAAAGTCTTCATAAATTTAAAGATGTATTATAAGTAGTATTTCCTAGTGAGGATTGGAGTAATTCAAGATTGGTGGCAGAGGCAATGAACAAGGATGAGGTTGCCAAGCCCGACTTGGGGAACTTATCAGACCAACTGAATAAGTCGAAGAAAAACAAAAAGGATTTCAATCTTGGCTCGATCTAGTGCCGGCAATAAACATGGTTCCCCTCAATCATCCAATGAGCCTCATCTTGGATGTCACTGAGCAGCTGGGACTACCTGAATGTCATACCTTGCCTTGGGCTCTGACGAGTGTTGCCAGCCCAGTCATGACACGAATGGGTGTGTTACTCTCAAACAAGAGATCGATTAGTTGGTTCAGAGGGGTCATTCCACCGGTTAAGTAAAAAGGACTCACAATATACTAAGTGTGGCTGAAACTGGCGAAACAAATCCCAAGTACGGCGTGACTCATCTTGGAAGGGTTGAGATGGGAGAACCACCATTAAGTCCACTTCATCCATGGTAGTAGTTCCGGTTGAGACTCTCCGTCTCTATGGAAGAATGGGCTTGCTAACTATTTATTGGTGAGGTCACGAAGTCTCTTATCCGAAAGAAATTAAGGCGCGAGCCAATATTTTTCATTAGCGATGGTCTGTCCCCATGCCCAAGTCATCATTGGGATGCCTTTATCATCAAGATAGAAATCAACAATATGGTTCTCCAATATGCATGTTGGTCGATACAGTAGCTGCATGAACACTATGTGTTTGGATACTTGAAAAAAGTTGTGTTTGCCAAAGGACTTCGTCTGCTATGGACACAACTGTCTGGAATCAGAGGTGTATATCCATTGAAGCAGAGGGGAAACTAACCATAGGGTCAACCTCGTCATGAGTTTCTCGTCCTATGAATATTGTGCCCCCACAACCTCGAACTTTGGGGTCAAGATTGGGAGACCTCTAGGGTGTGATCTCATGAGTGTACCTTTGCATGAAGTTTCCTACGCCAACCAGCATGGGCATTTTAAGGAGGAGCCATTGAGCCAAAAACTATCTTGTGCATTTTATGTCAAGATCACAAATAAGATAGTGTGGCGGAAAGTGTAAATCAACACAATGGAGACACAACTCCAGGAAGAGGACATCTAGCACCGCACCGAGGCCATTCCTGACCAGAGCAAAAGCTCAAGATTGGGTCCAGGTTGACGTTCGGCCAAGATGTATCTTTCTAGCAAAGCTAAAAACCTCCACCAAACCTTAAGAAATAAAATTACCTGGACTTTAAGCTTCAATAAGAACCCTGAACAATCAATAATGGTGAAAATACCATGCTATTGGTGTTGCTATGAAGTTTACAATTTTTTGGGACATTTTCTACTCTGACTCCTAAAATTAACCCAGTCCTTCTGCCTCCCTTGGCACTGGAACCTAAAGGTTTTCTACTTCAGAGAGTGAGTTGTTTGGGCATGAACAGCCAACAAAGCTTTCAATGTAGCTTTCCTAGTAGCAGATCCTTGTAACCACAACAACCAAGCCTTAATCCCAAATTAGTTGGTCGGCTTAACACCTGAGTGGCAAAGGAAGCCTGTAAGATTGGTAACATTCTAAGTTGTAGATCCTATTAATAGAACCTGTAAAATAAAGTTGTAAAATAAAGAATTAATGTTTCCTTAATTCATGTTGTCTTACAACTTACAAGCTGAATTTAGATTTGCTCATTCACTCTGTTCAGGTAAAAGGCCATCACCCATTTGGGATAAATTAGTATTCAATAAGATAAAGGACAAACTTGGAGGCCGGGTTCGTCTTATGACTTCAGGTGCCTCCCCATTATCCCCTGATGTCATGGAGTTCTTAAGAGTGTAAGTCTATTGTGCTTCTATCACTAAAATATGATAAGTTCAACTCAATTAGACAGTAAATTTTCTTACACTGAGTGCGTTGATACACTCTTTGTAATATACATGCTTCAAACTTGCAGATGTTTTGGCTGTAGAGTTGCTGAAGGGTATGGGATGACTGAGACTTCGTGTGTTATTAGCTCTATGGATGATGGCGACACCTTAATTGGCCATGTTGGTTCTCCAAACCCTGCATGCGGTAAGTTGCTCCCTTCCTGAATTGGGAAAAGAAGTAACTTTTGTATGACAATGTTGCTCTACTGAGTACTGACAACTGTGATAGAAAAAATCTGAAAGGTATGGTTACCTTTTTGAACATTGATTGGCTATTTGAAATATAAGCCTTATGCTAAACAAATTTGGTTAATGGAAACAAATGCCTATAACCTTTTTTTCTACTACAGATTAATTAACAGTGAGCATATCTAGGAGATAAATAACATAGGAAAGTAGAAATATATCTTGCATTTACAATAGTCCTCGATTACAAACAAGATCATAAGGTGAAACATTGAGACCCTCAAGCTTCTTCCAAAGTATCAATTGTATCAAACATGCAAACAAGTCTGAAAAAACTAAGGACAACTGTACCAACGACATTTAAAGTTTGTTTTCCTTAGGATTGAAGATAGAAAAGCTCAAATAAAAGGACCTGCATGATCACTACTTTCTTGAACATGACAAAGCATTATTGTATGAAAATAACTCTGTTTAAGTTTAACTTGAGCAAGCAAAATTTGACCTAACCCGTTTTTAACCTGAAACCCGAACCAAAAATAGTGGGTTTTGAACAAGGAATTTGCAACCAAAAATGACCAAACATGCAACAACAACAACAACCCAAGTGAATCCCACAACAGTAGGGTCTGGGGAGGGTGTGTGTACGCAGACCTTGCCCCTACTCGGAAGTAGGGAGGCTATTTCCAAGAGACCTCCGGCTCCACCTGCACAAAAATATGGAAGGGAACACAGTATAACACAGATAAAGCACCAAGTACAAGCAACAAGTACAAACAATAGCAGAAGATTCCAAACGAATACAACACACTACAAAACAACCTCTACAACACCGAGCTCCTATCCAGCTACTCTAATTCTAGTTTTCCAAAGGTTCCTATCTATGGCCATATCCTCAGTCAGGTCGAGAAGTCCTAAATCTTGCCTAATCACCTCCTTCCAATTCTTCCTAGGTCTACCCCTTCCCCTACTTCCCCCGATAACTGTAATCCTCTCGCATCTCCGTACAGGGGTGTCAGGATCCCGCCGTCTCACATGGCCAAACCATCTCAATCTCGCTTCCCGCAATTTATCTTCCACCGGTGCCATGCCTACCTGACGCCGGATAACTTCGTTCGAAACCCTATCCAACCTTGTCTTCCCACACATCCATCGTAACATCCGCATCTCCGCCGCATGCAGACGACGCACATGAGTCTTCTTAACCGCCCAACACTCTGCCCCATATAACATAGCAGGTCTGACTACGGATCGATAGAACTTACCTTTCATTCTAGGCGAAATCTTCGGATCACACAACACCCCTGAAGCTAACCGCCATTTGGCCCAAGCCACTCCAACACGATGTCCAACATCTGCATCTAACTCCCCATCCGCCTGGATTACCGAGCCAAGATATCGAAACCTGTCTACCTTAGGTACTAGGTGTGAGTCAATCCTGACTTCCACCTCTGGTTCTGTATCCCGGCCACTGAAACGACACTCCATGTATTCAGTCTTGTTCCTACTTATTCTGAATCCTTTAGTTTCAAGGGCAAGGCGCCATAATTCCAACTTATCGTTTAGTCTCTCACGTGTGTCGTCGATAAGCACAATATCATCCGCGAAAAGCATGCACCATGGGACCCCGTCTTGAACACCTTGAGTTAGGATGTGCATCACCAAGGCGAACAAAAAAGGGCTAAGGGCAGACCCCTGGTGCAACCCCATCCCTACCGAGAAAGAATCTGAGTCGCCCCCGGAAGTCCTTACCTTGGTCATAGCCCCATCGTACATATCCTTGATCGCACGAGTGTACACGATGGGAACTCCTCTCGCCTCAAGGCACCTCCATAAGACCTCCCTAGGCACCCTATCATACGCCTTCTTTAGGTCAATAAACACCATATGAAGGTCCTTCTTCCTAGCCCTATACTCTTCCATTAACCTCCTCACGAGATGAATGGCCTCTGTAGTCGATCTGCCAGGCATGAAACCAAACTGGTTCTCAGAGATGCAAACCCCTTTCCGCACCCTACACTCAATGATTCACTCCCAAACCTTCATGGTGTGGCTAAGCAGTTTGATGCCTTTGTAATTCTCGCAGCTCTGAATGTCACCTTTGCCTTTAAATAGAGGGACCAAGAGACTCTCCCTCCACTCATCAGGCATCCTAGCTGTCCGGAGGATAACATTGAAGAGTTTGGTTAACCAAACCCACGCACCACGACCCGCATGCTTCCAAAACTCCACCGAAATCTCATCTGGTCCCAAAGCTCTCCCACTACGCATCCCGCTAAGAGCCCGAACCCCCTCTTCCAGGCAAACGCGCCGGCAATACACACGAGACGCCCCGGGCTGTCCCAACTCACCAAGAACTAGCCTCTGGTCTCCTCCCGCATTTAAGAGTTCACTAAAGTACTCCCCCCAGCGCTTAGCCACCTTGGCAGTCTCAACTAACACTCTACTATCGCCGCCCTTCACGCATCTCACGTGATCCAGATCTCGGGCCTTCCTCTCGCGCACCTTAGCAAGCCGGAACATTGGATTAACACTGCCTCTCTCTTCAATATCCTTGTAGAGGCGTTCAAAAGCGGCATTCTTTGCCCTCGTTACCTCTAACTTCGCTTCTTTACGTGCTTTCTTGTACTCCACTCGTAACGCCGCTCTATCCTCCTCAACATTGCAGCCCATGTACCTCAAATACGCCACCTTCTTAGCTTCCACCTTACTTTGGACTGAATCGCTCCACCACCAATCACCCTGACGCCTACTCCCAGAGCCAGAGCTCACACCTAACACTTCCCTGGTTGTTTCCCTTATGCAGTTAGGAGTCCTCACCCACATATCAGTAGCCTCTCCGGTCGATTCCCACACACCTTTCTCCTGCACTCGCCTGGTCAACTCAGCGATATTCTCCGCACTAAGTCTCCTCCACCGAATTTGTGTGTTGCCACTCGAAGCTCTCCTATGTTTCTCCCACCTGATCATAACATCCATCACGAGAAGCTTGTATTGGGTAGTGACGTTTTCACTCGGAATTACTTTAGCATCCCTGCAGAGCACCCGATCACACCTGCGCAGGAGAAGATAGTCGATCTGTGTCGTCCCCACTCCACTTACAAATGTAGCCAAATGGTCATCTCGTTTAGGGAAACAAGAGTTAGCAACCACCATATCACTCGCTCTAGCAAACTCCAAGAGTGAAACTCCCGCTGGGTTCCTGCTGCCAAAGCCAAAACCACCGTGCACGTCCTTGAAGCCATCGGTCGATTCTTCAATATGGCCATTGAAGTCGCCTCCAATGACGACTTTCTCAGTCAATGGAAAACCAACAACCACCCCATCCAAGGCGTCCCAAAACTCCCTCTTTACTTCGTCTGCCAGGCCAACATGCGGGGCGTAAGCACTCACGACATTGATCGCACACCCACCCAAAACCAACTTGATAAACATCAGACGATCGCTAATCCTCTT